CCTTTTGGCCCGGCCACAAATGTCACCAAATAAGAGTAACTGTTGCCACTTTTTTACTAGTGAATTTTCAAGTACACATGTTGATGTAGTGCAGGAAGGAAATAGTTGGGTTTTTTCGTGAGGACTTTTGTTATCATTTCACTTGTGTGGAATGTATAGCTCGGCAGCCAAACTGGACCAATTAATATATAACAAGATCCACTCCATACATTTTCCCACATGTATTTAGTGTATAAAGATGGGACAATCTGACAAGGAGCTTATTACTCTACACCTAAGGTTTTAGGTTCGATTCCTCCTTCTTCCAATATCACTTGTACAACAAATAAAGGAAGAAGGAAGGAGAGGATGAGATGATACGGGTTGGTGGAGAAGCCAGAGATTTCACACCAAAGGTGAGTGCTATGCATTGTTAAGCCAGTGTGATTGCATTGTTATAACGGTGAGTGCTATAACACCAACCTTTGGTTAAATTATTTGAAGGGGGAAAAAGAAGCACCACATACTTTGTTCCGAAGTGTATTGGTAATCATACCCGCCATCACTTTTTTCAGGCCATGAGGTAGTGCTTTGAACATTTTGAGTAAAATCAACATTCTCAATTTATATATTGGAGAAGCACTTTGAACATTTTGAGTAATGAACACTCTCAATTTATTTATTGGAGAAGGGCCTTATGTAGTACGAAACGAATAAGATATACATTTAATGTGATTTGAAGGATAGTGGTTGTACACCTGATCCATAGCCAACCTTGTTGACGAAGAAATAAGGCCCCAAGTAGCATACCCGAAGTCCCTAAACCATACTCAACGTCATCAAAATTATTACTGTGGTTTATCATTTTTACTAAGGTTCTTATGTTTTTAATTTTGTCAATTTTGTCCCTGTAGTTTTTATTTGAAGTCATTCAAGGACAATCCTCAATTTCTGTCAAAAAAATTTAACTTATGTTACTTGTGGAGAGAATTTGGTCCACGGATTATTAAAAGAGTTTTTCTATTTAAATCCCGCACTTATCTTTGTTTACCCCAACTTCTAATTCAAATTTTCTCAATTTCTAAGAACACCTCATATCTTTCCAAACTACCCCTAAATACACACCCAGCTGAAAAAATAAAAACAAAAATTTAAAACTCATCAACCCCACAATCTTGCCTCTTACTACTCTAAGTTTACCTCAACCTTAGAATTCCAACAAGCCACTATTTGCATACCGTATTTAGGATTTGTAAAGAGAAGATGAGAGTGTAGTAGGTTTCTTAGATTGAAAGAGAACAGTAATATGGTAATAGGGTGTAGAGGAGTTTGTGTTTTTCTAAAACTTAATATGAAGAATGGTGAGGTGTGTGAGGTGTGTGTATGTATTAGGGTTAAATATTAAGTTGGATGACCGTTTTCGTCTTTTTACACAATAATAAAACTTAAAAGTTTAATGATTTAAGTATTGGGATGAACAAAGAAAAGTGTGGAGTTTTTAAATAAAAAAACTCTTATTAAAAAGTTCATTCATTTTAAAAATATAAATTTTCAAAGAATTATTTTTAAATAAAAAATAAAACCACTATATATTATAAAAATTAATTATTTTAATTTTAAAACTAATGTATTGAAAATTTATATTTGTAATTTTTTTTAAGGAATGAATTTTTTAATAATTTGTGGACCGAATTCCCCTCCGCAAGTAACGGAAGTTTAAAATTTTGACAAAAATTTAGAATTGTCCCTGAATTGCTTCAAATTAAAACCACTATGACAAAAATAACCAAATTGAAACCAAAGGGACCTTAATTAGTGGTAAAAATGATAAATCACAGAGGTCAAAAGTGACTTTTTACATTAAATTATAGTTCCCACTTTCTAGTTAAACATATATATATATATATATAAAATAAAATTTATCATGCCAAAGATGTAGTATTTTCTTGTCATGATTTTAAAACTACCTTTTCGAAAATTTATATTTGTATTGTTTTTTTAAGGAATGAATTTTTTTAATAAATTGTGGACCAAATTCCCCTCCACAACTAACAGAAGTTTAAAATTTTGATAGAAATTTAGAATTGTCCTTGAATTGCTTCAAATTGAAACCACTATGACAAAAATAACCAAATTAAAACCAAAAGGACCTTAATTAGTGGTAAAAATGATAAATCACAGAGGTCAAAAGTGACTTTTTACATTAAATTATAGTTCCCACTTTCTAGTTAAATATATATATATATATATATATAAAATAAAATTTCTCATGCCGAAGATGTAGTATTTTCTTGTCATGATTTTTATTATGTTTATAGAGAATAGATAAACAATGATGCTAGGGATACCAAAATTGTACACCAAATTTGAGCCCCAAATGATGTGGCTTGTGTCATATCATATATATTTTATTAACCAATTCCAACTTGGATTTTGATTTTAGTTATTTTAGGAAGAGAATTAGTTCCAAATAAAAATAAAAATTGATAGCCCTAAACCATCAATTTGCTGTTGTATCCTTCCACAATGTTTGTTGCTCACCACCACTAAGTCACACGCTGACGAATCCAAATAGTTGCCCATTTTCTACTCCGAAGCCCAAATGACTCCTTTTGGTAAACAATCAGCAAATCACTGCAAAAATCTGAAGCATCCTAAGAAAATTGTAGGTGATACTTTTCTACAATTATTCTATTTTCTAAGAAAAATAAAAATAGAAAACATGAGGAGAGAAGAAGAGAAGAAAGAGCAGCAAACTTGCTGGGAAGGATAGACGGAAAATTGATGGTTTAGGGCTACCAGTAGGGTTCTTATTTTTTTGGAAAAAAAGCTGCAAGATTTTTTATTAATTAAGTTTTAAATTTTTAAATTTTATTCCTAAAATAAATAAATAAAATCATAATTCAAGTTAGATTTGATTAATTAAATATGTATGACATGGTACATGCCACATCATTTGGGACTCAAATTTAGCGAGCATATGCATCCGAATTTAGCAAGTGTACACATACTTGTCCAAAAAAAAAAAAAAACATTGTGTACATCTCCAATAAAATGTACAAATGATGTGTCGCGAAGATAAAACCTATAACTCTGCGTATGAGGGGTTTCACTAAAGCTTGGGCTAGTAATGAAACAAAAGTCCTTCCTTGTAAACTGTACGGGACGTCCAGCAAACATAAAATCTACAACTCTCTTACAAAACAATAAGGAGTTGTGTTTAAATAGGAATACTGACACTTGTTGGAGCATTTGGTGTAATTTCTTCGGCGATAAAGACCTTTGGCATTCTGGACATGCAGACATTTGATAATGAATGAGGAACTGCTTGTCCTTCCACCTTCTTTTTCTTGGTATGCTTTTCTTTACTTCATTTGTTGGCTACTTGAGAAAAACACTCATGTATATATTTTATGTGTGCTTGTATATTCTTTTGACAATGTTATCATATCCGGGGCCTTATTGAGAAAAACATTTGTATCATTTTAGTAAAAGCGAATTTGATGGTCATTATTATTATGAATTTTGATGTGTTTATAGAAGTTATGGATGCTTAATAAAGCCCGTTTACTTTAGTTTTTTTATTTTTTATTTTCTCTTATAGAAGCATTATTAAATATAGGATCTCGGTGCATGTATACTTCTCTTAACCACATAAGCTACAAGCCCCTTGATTTTATTTTATTTTCACTTTTAGCTGAAGATAAAAGGGGAAACGTACAGGGAATGTATGGGGAATGTACTAAGAAGGAAAGAGGTAGGGAAAAGACTGAGGAACGAGAGAAGCAAAGGAAGAATGCATGAAATAAAAACTTTAGGATGGAAGTTAGGGAATTATTTTTTAGTTCAAGCGATAATCTAAACTATAAGACGAAAGGGGATTCGAAATAGGGCTTGAGTTGTAGACCAAGTGTACTCAGTGTAGTCACAAGTGATTGTTTTGACCCGTAAGTGATAAAATAGTAAGTGTGTACTTTATTGCAACAAGAATTTTATTACATGAACATGACTGATAAAATTGAAATTACATACAACTGATAATAAATATAAAAAAACCAATATGTAGACAAAATGTGTCATTTTTGAACAACAACAACAAAACTAAAGGAAAGCAAATGCGCTTCTCGCTCTGCACCCTAGTTCGAATCCTCATTTCCTTAGTTTAGATTAGATTAAAATAGAATATCGCTTGTATAAATAAAAACCAAAGGAAAAGAAACGGATGCACCTGACACCTTCACCGTTGGATCTCATCCAACGGTGGTGTGTTAACACTTATATCTATGTTAGGGTTTTATTTTTTTTCTTCCTCTCCTATTTCTTTCGCCGCATTGTTGAAGTTTTTCGCATCTTTGTTGAAGAGATTTTGACTTCAGATCTCATGGGAGATAGTATTGATTAATCAAAATAAAATATAAAAGTTCTTCCATCACTTCTCTCCGACAACACAGTCAAGCTTCTCAGGTACCTATTTATTTTTACAGATTTTAGGTTTCTTCTTTGGTTTTGCTTTTCAGTGAGCCACTACTCCAAGGGAACAATTATTTTTCATCCCTCTTTGCTCCAAATATAATACATAGATTACAAATTGCAGACAGGTATCCCACTCCAAGTTTGCCCTCATTTTGCTGCTTATATATGTGTTTGTTGCTTATATTTACTAACACTTACGACAAAATCATGTGTGTTTTGGTATGAGATCTTGAATCTGGATTTTTGAAATTTCAAGCATTTATAATATGCTCTACATCTTATTAATATTTGAAAAACATGAATTCTCCTCTTGCTGGAAAATTCATTCGTGTTTACGTTAATAAAAAGGTGACTCATTTGATTTATTTTCTTTCTTTTTTTTTGTGTGAAATTAAAATATTTTAGTGTTGATTTGAATGCACTTAACTATTTGAACTACGAGATCCTTGTGAAGTGAAACTAAAATTCTTATTTGAGTCCATGAAATGGCTTTGTTTCCTTCTTGATGACTTTGTCTTCTAACTTATTTCTTTACACTCTTATTCAGGATGGTATCCAAGAGACGGAAGAATTCCATGTACATCCCTGACGAAGTCTTGATCGACATCCTACTAAGACTACCCGTAAAGTCCCTCATTCGGTTTATGACTGTATGCAAGTCATGGAGAAATATGATCCGAGGCTTGAGCTTTATTGGTGAACATCTTAATAGGAATCTCAACAATCATGCTCATACTTTTCTAGTGGCCCTCCACAACAATGGAGGCACAGGAGACACTGGCTACTCTCTTCTCTCCAATGAAACATTTGAGGTGTGCATTACTGTTCAACATCGAAGCCGAAAACCTTTCGGGATCTACGGTTCCAGCAATGGCTTGCTTTGTCTGTCATATGAAAAATTGAACCTGAACAATCCTATATGGATATATAACCCATCACTTAAGAAACGTGTGACCCTACCAAGGACCAGCTTGTCGTGGCAGCTCCTTCCAGGGAGCGGCATGTCGTGGCGGCCTTTATTCGGATATGGCATGACTCTTGCATTCGGGTTCCACCCTGGTGTGAATGATTACAAGGTGGTAAGGAAGGTATCAATTGATGTAGAGGAGCTTCTCTCTGCAGTGGAGATTTATAGTTTAAGCACAAAGTCTTGGAAGACGGTTGATGTAATTCCTCCTTTGATAAAGAGCATGAAGTGGGTTTGTGGATATGGAATGTGTAATGGAGTAGCATATTGGACCATGTCAAACCAAAAGGATTATCTTGTGTCTTTAGACGCCGGCAACGAGGTATTTCAAGAAATCCAGCTACCGGAGGGTATTGCCGGTGGGATTAAATCTGTTGAGGAGTACAAAGAATCAATTTGCTTGTTGCAACTCAACAAGGATGGGCAAGACGAGCATATTAACATATGGATTCTCCAAGAAAAGTATTTTAAAAAGTTGGTCACTATTGGTTTTCCCGGAATGAGTCTTACCCCATTGGGATTTAGAATGAAAAATGAACTTCTTCTCGAGCTTCATGAACAAGATAGTAAAGGATCTGATCTGGCTATATATAATCTTGAGTCCAAGCAGCTCACTCAAACTGGAATTAGGTTGGTGAAAAATTACTATGATGCCTATTATGTGGCTACTTACGTTGAAAGTTTAGTCTTACTCATGGATTAAAAGGAAGAATTTCAAATTATTAGTCGTTGAAAAATGTATTTTACTTTGTTTTTGTTTTGGGAGTATTTTCATATTCATGTATTTTATGTTTTTTTTTGTCAAAATTCATGTATTTTATGTTGCTGCAAACATTTTTGTGACAGTTCATGTATTTTATGTGTTGTTGATCATTTTAATATTACAAATTAAATTATATAGCATTTGCTTTGTGATCTTGCTGAATAATGATAGAAATCTCTATCTGAGTTAGTTGTTAACCATCATTTAGGTTATGGTTAGTTGAGAGTTGGTTAAGTCAACTCTATTTTAATTGAGAAAGTCTGTATTGAGAAGTTTAGTGGAGAAATATTGTATTCTGTTCTTGTAAAATAAATAAGAGCATTCTGTTAGTCTTGAGATATTGAGTCAAGATAGAAGGCATTTTCATATATTTGTAAATATTAGCATCATCAGTGAACTGAAGTTAGACATATTATCATGGAAAATACTTCTATTCTTATTGTGTAAGTAAGAGCTCTTACATTCCTGTCAATAACAGTGTGACATGTGTGGCGAAGTTTTTCTTTTTATGTTTTTGATGAATTATTTTTGTATATGTATCAAATTGTGATTTGCAAGGAGGAATATCTCCCTACAGGGAAGGAGGCAAGTAGATATGCACAAAAGGTAACTTGAAACTATATACACCCGTTTAAAAAATTCGGCCAAATACGGACAAAATGTGACGTTTTTAACCCCCAAAAAAAAACCCCAAGGAAAAGAAACAGGCACACCTGACACCTTCCAAGTCTAGATCCCATCAAACAGTAGCGGGTTAATACTGATATCTGAAGGTTGGGTAATTTGAAATGACACCAAAATTGTGGTACTTTTATGTAGTTAACCTTATTTTTTTTAGTACAAGCAATAAATTATCAGGGGAGGGGTAGGGGGATTTTAAGAGTGAGTTTCTATGTCCTTTGTTTTTGTGTTGATCAGGGAAAGCAAGAGATTTTTTTTCTATTGAAGAACCTAGGTAGGATTCGAACCTGGGTTATATATAATATAGGGATTTTTGTAGACATATCACTTGAACTTATACTTCAGTTTCAATTTGTCACCTTAAAGAAAAATTTAAGAGAAATGTCACCTTAATTTTTCAAAATCCATTATTTGTCATCTAATTTTAACACCATCCAATTTTCCATCCATTTTTAAGGATATTTTAGTCTTTTTCATTTTCAAGGGTATTTTAGAAATGGAAAAATGATTATAAAAAAATTTATACATGGTCAAAGAGAGAGATAGAGAAGAGAGGTACGATGTGTTTTGGGGGCAGGTGGGGTTGGGGTGGGGGAGAAAGGGAGAGAGAGGTCTATTTTTTCTCTTCTTTTTAAAAAAAAAATGGAAAGACTAAAATACCTTTAAAATGGATGGAAAATTGGATGGTGTTAAAGTCAGATGAAAATCATGGATTTTGAAAAATTACGGTGACATTTCTCTTAATTTTTTCTTTAAGGTGACAAATTGAAACTGAGGTATAAATTCAAGTGACATTTTCAACAATTAATATATAATATACATGTAAACAAAATTTGGGGTCCCTAAAAGATCGGGCCCTTGTGTGGTGCCACCACTTGCAACACCCCAGAGCGGGCCATGAATGGGAGCATATAGGGGTGTTGGGCTTGCCACATAAATAGCATGCTCTATACTATACATAGATAGACCTACAGCTAGCCCAAGTGAGTTTTTAATTTATTTCTTATAGTTAATATATATATTTTAAGGTTTAATCTGGTTCAAAATCTAACAGGCCACTCGTAAGGTAAATTTAGCCCATCTTATTTTGAAATCCTGAGTCCATCCCTAATATTATATTAATGGCATGTTTACTAATCCGCAATTGGTTTAGGAGAAATTGAATTGAGGATGAATTGAATTGAGGAGGAGTTGTATTGAGAAGAATTAGATTCCGGATTCTTATTGAAGTTGTTTACTAAACCATATGGATTGAGGAGAGTTAGATTTCGGATTTCTATTAAAGTTATTTGCTAAATCATATGGAATTGGGGTAAGAGTCGTGCTAATTATTAAAATGTCCTTGTTGTTAGGTTAAAGTAGATAGCAAATTTGAACATTTTAAAATTGTGTGAGGATATAATGGGTAAAAAAGATGAATTCATAATGGGTTAGTTTTCCGAGAATTAGAATACCACCTCCCACCCAAGAATTGAATTCCTCCAAATTCATAAACTCAGTTCCTAATTTTGTGTGAGCCCCACTTACTTTTTAATTAATTGATGTAAAGTAAACGCAGGAATCCTCTATAGGTGGAATTCAATTCTTAATGAAAATTCCAATTCCTAATTAGTAAACACTCCATAAAATATGAGTATCCAATCAAGAACCAATTCACGATGTGGGATACTCCCTAGGAACAAAAACGTTTTGGGATCTAGAGTTGGAGTATTGTTTGACTGCCAGATAAAATGTTGCATTTTGAACCGCCCCACATGCATATGTAATCCATCAATTAGAGGTTTATATGTTAGAAATAAAATATAGATTTCCTAACTGAATGGAAATCAATAAAGAGCCCATTGGGTTGTTACTATCAGCCCAATATAATCTTTATATTGCATTGAATTTTTTTTCTTCTTATAAAACATGTGGGTGGGGGAAATCGAACTTATGATCTATGATGTAAAATAAATACTCTTAATTACTTGAGCTACAAGCCCCTTAAAAAATTTTGGAAATATTTTGTGGGTTTAGATTGGCCTTTCCCATTTTCAACTTGGAAGTTAGAACTTTCCTTTTTGTTTTTTATTTTGTATGCTTTTTTATTCTTCTCTCCCTGCCCTCTATGTCTCTCCTCCCGCATATATTATTGCCTTATTATTTAATGTTGTCCTTCCCTTGTCTTCAAATCTCATAACCTGTTGGTTGATCAAATAGAAATAAAAATTTCTTCCATCACATCTGTCCCGCTGCACAGTCGTCAGGCTTCTCAGGTAATTAAGGTTGTATTTTCTGTAGATGTGGAGTTTCTTCTTCAGTTTTGCTTTTCACGGAGTTGCAGCTCCAAGTATACCACTGCTTATATTTTTGTTTGCTCCATATGTTTACTAACTAGACACTTAGAGAATGTCTCAATCAAAGATTTTATGTTAAAAAATCATTATGACATAAACACGTCTGCTTTTTCCCTCTCTTGAAAGTGGAATTTTTGTATGAGAGTTTGAAAGTTGAAGAACTGTTCATAAGCTGGCCTACATTTTAATATTTGACAAACATGAATCTCGTCTTGATGCAAACGACATTCCTTTTTTTCATGTTCTTCCCATTACAAACTAAAAGTGAGAATCGATTTTTCTTTTGGGTTAGTAAATTTTTGTCATACAAGAATATTAGGGTAGAAATTGATCAACAAAGGACCATGGGTATAGGGTTGGAGAAATTATTGTATGGTACTGGAGTATAGCTACGTGATATAACTTGTACACTTGTTATAATATGGATGTGGACGATAGAGTCTTTGTTTCCACCTTTTAGGGAATGATATCAATAATATCCCCTTATATTATAACACGCAGCCGTACTACCATACTACATTATAATTACTTATGATTGAATGTAGCACTAGGTCTAGAATTATTTCCCAATTTTGTTTTCTAACTTATGTCTGTATTATACCTTCCTCAGGATGACGTCCACAAACTGCAAGAATTCCATTTACATCCCTGAAGAAATCTTGATCGACATCCTACTAAGACTACCAGTAAAATCCCTAGTTCAGTTTATGTGTGTTTGCAAGTCATGGAGCAATTTGATTGAAAGCTCGAGTTTTATAGGCAGACATCTTAATAGGAATGTTAAAAACCATGGCCTTACTTTTCTAGTTGGTCTCGAGTGCACTGAAGTCAAACCCAAAATTCGCCATTCCATTTTCTCTAATGAAACATTTAAGGCAACAGGCTTGGACATGGGAGGTTTTGGGCTATATGGTTCAAGTAATGGTTTAGTTTGTCTGTCATGTAAAAGTCTGGATTTGGATTGTCCTGTAACCATATGTAACCCATCAATCATGAAATTTGTCCGCCTTCCAGTCACCAACGTTTCTTGCCCTCCCAAATACCAGTATCGTTGTGTTCTTACATTCGGGTTCAACTCCAGGCTCAACGACTACAAGGTAGTAAGGTTGGTAACGTTTATTCGGGGGAAGAAATACAATGAAGTGGAGGTTTACAGTTTAAGTACAAACTCTTGGAAGAGCATTGGTGTAATTCCTCCTTGGATATATTCCTTGGGTTGGCATTCTGGACATGCAGTTTCTGATGGGATAGCATACTGGATTATGGGACAGGGAGAGGATGATAGCTTTCATCTCGTGTCGTTTGATACTGGCAGTGAGGTATTTGAACAAGTGTTGCTGCCGGAGGCTATTGCGGAGGGACTTGAAGGCGTTGAGGGAGAAATTCAGGCGTACAAGGAGTCGGTTTGCTTATTGCAATGCGAAAGAAGTGAGCCAGAGCTCCACGTCGGCATATGGGTTCTCCAGGAGAAGTGTTTAAATAAGATGCACACTGTTGTTATTCCTGGAATATGGCCTATGCCATTGGGCTTTAAAACGAATGATGAACTCCTCGTGAACTATGTTGGAAAGAAAGGTGAAATTTATCTGGCTATTTACAATCTTCAAACCAAGCAGATCAATGAAACCAGAGTTAGCTTGCCCAAGCATTGTTCTCTTGACTCTGATGCTGCGGATACTTATGTTGAAAGTTTACTCTTACTCAAGGGTTGGAGCATCCGAACTTAAAAGAATATCATGTGTATCTTATGTCCTTTATGCTGTGGAAAGTAATATGGAAAATGTACTATCACCTTGTTTTTTTTTTTTTTTTTTTTTTTTTTTTTTTTTTTTTGGAGTTTCGTTTGAGAAAGGATATGCACTCTTAATCATATGCTCCTTATGTGCTTTGTTTTTCCTTTTTCTTTCTTGTCATTCCATCTCTTCTTCTTTTTTTCCTTTGTATGCTTGTCATACCCCTCTATCTTTCTTCACTTTGTTAAGAAAAATACATTGAAAAGTTAAGAAGCGCCCCCTATTTAGAGAAGGATTATTGTCGCCTCGAGAGTTTTGAGAAAAAATTCTTACTGCCCAACCTTTTTGTGTTCTAACAGCTTAAGCAGCGTTTTTTGCTCGATCGCGAATACCTAGGCTTCTTACTGATATTTATGACTTCTTCCAAGTTCCAAGTTTTTACTTCTCCGCATGGAGAAACCATGGGAGGCAGTTTTGCATCTTTCTTAGGCAGGAGAAAAGTGGGTTTATGGCGGTTAGTTCTACCGTCATCACTGGCGGTCGCATCCCGGCTTATGACATAATTATGTTCGTTTTGGTATGAGATTTACAGACTGGTTTTCTAAAATTTTAAACGTTGTTTATAAGCCGATCCACCACATTTTAATATTTGACAAACGCTCCTCTTGCTGGAAAGTTCATTCCTTTTTTCATGCCCTTCCCCTTATGACAAATAGAATTTGAGTCATTGTATTTTCCTTTTTGTTGTGAAATAAAAAGTTCTTTTTTCAGTGATGGGTCAAATGCTCTTACCCATTTGTTTTTTGTTAGACTCTATGAATTGCCCATATGGCTGTGTTTCCTTCCTGAGTTTGCCTTCTAACTTATTTACATACGTGCACTTGTTCATGATGGTATCCACAAAATGGAAGAATCCCATCTACATCCCTGAAGAAATCTTGATGGACATCCCACTAAGACTACCCTTAAAGTCCCTTGTTCGGTTCATATGTGTGTATGCAAGTTATGGAGAAATCTGATCAAACGCTCTGAGTTTTATTGGCGAACATCTTAATAGGAATCTTAAAACTCATGTTCATACTTTTCTAGTTGCCCTCCACTGCCTTATAGGCACAAGAAACATTGGCCACACTCTTCTCTCCAACAAAACATTTGAGGTCCGCTAAACTATTACTCACCATCGGAGCCTAAAACCTTATGGAATATAAGGTTCAAGCAATGGCTTGCTTTGTCTGTCATATGTTGCATTTGAACAGCCCTATATGCATATACAACCCATCACTTGGGAAATATGTGACCCTTCCAATGACCAACATTTCGTGCCGGCCATTATCCGGACATGGCATTACTCTTGCATTCGGGTTCCACCCGGGGGTTGATAACTACAAGGTGGCAAGGATGGTGTCATTTGGTAAGGATGAGCTTGTCTCTGAGGTAGAGGTTTGTAGCACAAGATCTTGGAACAGGTTTGATGTCATTCCTCCTATAAAGAGCATGAAGTGGGATTGTGGATATGGAATTTGTAATGGAGTAGCATATTGGACCATGGCAAACCGAAGGGATTATCTTGTGTTGTTTGACGCCAGCAACAAGATATTTCAAGCATTGCCGCAGCCAAAGTGAATTGCCGGTGGAATTGAAGCTGTTGAGGAGTACAAGGAATCAATTTGCTTGTTGCAACTTAATAAGGATGGGAAAGAAGAGCATATTAACATATATGGGTTGTCCAAGAGAAGTCTTTTAAAAAGATAGAGAAGGTTGTTGCTCCTGGAATGAGTCTTGCTCTTACCCCATTGGGCTTTAGAATGAGAAATGAACTCCTAGAGCTTCATGAAAAAAACAGTGAAGGTGCCTATTATGTGGCTACTTGCTTGAAATTTTAGTCTTACTCATGGATTAGAAACAAAGAACTTAGAATTTAGAATTTAGCTTGTTTTTATTTTGGGAGTATTGCATTTGAGAAATGTTTTAATGTTTAAGTTTATTTTATGGCAAATGCACTCTAAATGATATGCTCCATCTGGGACTTCTTTTTCTATTTTTTTTTTATCACCTTTCACTTCCCTTTGGTCTTCGCATAGCTTAGCTTGATAGCTAATTATATATGCATTGTATGTGTTGTTGCATACAATCTTGTCAAAGTTTATGTAATGAATGTGTTGTTTGTGCTCAGTTATGCAAATAGCTTTTGCTGAAATCAAAATTGATGTTGAATTAAGTACGCATCAATATGGACTTGCTCATTGCAGTGAAGTAAAACATATTATACCAATGACTTTTATAGTAATTAGTAATTGAAAGAGAAAAATAAAAAGCCTTTTCTCAAGAAAGAATCAAAAGATTAAGGGCATTTACCACCCTTTTACAAAAAATGACATTTTGATTCTACAACTCACCAATTTCCAATGTATTTTCAGTTCTAAGGTCCTTATTCAATCAATGATGACAATGGAAAGCTCCATGGCATACTTCCGGTGCCTTACTCTGCGCACCATAATTGATGAACTGAGAAAATCGAGCTAAAATGATTTGTTCAGCAGCCATCTGTTAGTGTTACAGTTCCAACACTAACAGATGAATAAGATCAAGTGAATAAGATACTCTCAAACTTCTCCCAAGTCATCAAGGATGGTGACCACCTTCTTTTTATGCTCGTCTGCACTTTCATCTTGACCTTGGTCCGTGTACTTTCGTTTTCTAGGAATTTGTTCCATATTTAAGAACTCAGAGTTCGACAGAGCTCGATACAGAAGTACAATCTTTGTGATCCAATTATTAGCTGCAAGGTTTTGACCTATGCTAGTTATGCAAATATCATCAAATACAGATCTCACACACTCAGGAACCCTGCAGTTTTAACAATGCACACTGATGAAGCCTTTCCAAACCAGACACTGCCTCACCTTAAGAGAAAAGCAGAATTATATATTTCAGAAAACACAAGAGACAATTCCTAACTAGTTGCTGCTAATATACACACACAGTTTATACCTTGCAAGCACTCAAAAAATTGCCTCTTTGCATGCTCATCCTCAGGTAGGTGGTACCCATAAGCATAAGTCCATTTCAGCACTCTCCTACACTCAACAATCAACGAAAATGGAAGACAGAAGCAAAACAAAATTTGTCAGCATTTCATGGCAAAACAAAATTTGTCAGCATTCCATGGCAAAGCAAATCTAATCTGATCTTATAGCTAAACTGTGCACTATAATTCCTTTCATATATTTAAAAGAAAATATATCTTTATATATCTAACAAAAATTATGGTAGTTCACCACCTGCCAGGTATCAGTTATGAACTTGAGCTGAAACTCAGGTCCCCGCTGTATGTCTCTAAGTTTCTCCATCTGAGAAAAAAAAATAGCCAGGATATCAATAAAGTTAATACAGAGTACTTCATACAATTCCATGATAGCTAGGAAGTAACGCCTCTAAATTCAGGCTATCAGTTCACATGAATGGTTTCCGTACAAACACAACTACACGTCTAAATTCTGAAATCTAAAGGTCCAAAGTGAAAACACAGAAAACCTCATGTTTGTGTTGTTAACCTTAAGCTAAACTTAATTTGTAGCATTGGATCTATGAATAAAATAAGTAGAACGTTCCATACACCATAACATTCCAAATCTGCAAAAAGTTTTAAATATGGTTCTAGTTCCACAATACAATAGAAAGATGAGTACTAAGATTATTTATGTTTTGAACACATTTGTTACCATCTACTCCATTGAAGAATGAAGATAGCTAACACATGAACCCATGTCTGTATGTACGTGCGCACGTAGAAATTTTTTTCTGCAGTACAGATACTTAAATTAACAGTTCACATTTGATGCCAATCCGCAAGAACTTTTTGCCTCGACTGCCAAGGAAGACCAAAAAGATTTTAGTGAATAATTAAACGAGAATAGGACATTTGTATAGGTCCATCAAGAGCAACATTAAGGCTCAGACAATTAAATCCATAAAACAGAAGAACAATGCACAGACAAATACTACAAATTCAGGAGGCTTCCACACTTTTATGGAGTTGACCCAAAAAAAAATACATAGCCAGGGTACTATAACATTAAGAAAAGAAATTAATGAATTCAAAGCATAGCAGAAAAAACAGAGGAAAATTTGAAAAGAGAATTGTGAATACCAACTGATTTCTTGCCCAACATTCATAATAATGAGTGTATCTCTCCAGAGAATGCTTTGCCATTTCTCTTCTTCTCTCAGTTTCATCATACTACAAACCACAATACAAACTCTTGTAAACAGAAGAAAAAGAAAACTATGCTTCCAAAAGGCAAAGAAGAAGAACAAATTCTCAGAATGAACAAAAAGAAACTGTAAAATCCTTACAACTCCCTTTTTATTAGCTGCTTCATAGAGGTTACAAGCATAGAAACCACCTGTCCTCTCACCATGATCTGACCATGCACCAAGGCATAGCCTGCAAGATACATATAGTTCATTTAGAACCAGATATAACTTAACATTATAAGAGCATAAGCAACAGAAAAGTTTCCTCAAACTATATTTCTATTCTCAATGTGAATAATACAATGCAATCATTAATCAGATATGTTTTCAAAAAACTATCAATTTCCATGAATGGGAAAAAAAAGCAAGCAGAAAGCATACCAACAAAATTCAAATTTGCAAGGTGGTGTGCACGTCATGGCACCCTTGGTTTTTTCAATAGGTCGCTTACACTTTGGACATGGCTTGGAATTGGCTACTATCCTGAGTGTCATCAACAAAAGTTACTACAGAACAGAAGATGATATATGAAATACCATCGCTAATAGATGCTCTAATGTAGCCTACCACAAGAAGAACAAAAGAATTATATCCGGAAAATGATTGGTGTTACATTTTGCGGTCAAGGGAAATTTTCTACAGCTAAACAACTAAAGACAGCTTTAAACGTTAAAGAGACTTGCAATTCCAAGCTCACATTCTTCATATTCAAAACAAGAGATTAAGATGCAAGTTTCTTGTATCTGAGTCGAAAACTAGGTAAAATACAACCCATTTACTTTGGCAATAAAAAGAAACAAAGTAGGAAATTACGGCAGAAATTAAAGAATTGTATTATAATCTTTTGGTGTAAAAAATGTTGTACATACAAAATGAATACTGATTAGCCAGTTAGTCACTAGACTGTTCCCCAACTCCAAAGAATCAGAATTTACAAAACTAACTACATGTGTACATAAGTGGGAAGAATAGGACTATGAATGAGACGAGCACCGTAGACACGAGGTGCTGCAACAGGAAAGCAAGGGCGACGGACGATCACAGAAGCAACAACCACACGAGCGGGCTGCCAATATCGCACGATTGTTGGGCTAATTCCATACAAGCAGCCTTGAGACATCCCAGCCACAGACCTAAACGTTGCGTTCATCTTGGAGAACACAGCAGCAGTCAATAAACTGTCTGAACCAGCTTGATGAGCTTCACCAGAGCGCTCCACATCAAGAAGCTTGGCCACCCTTGCCAATCCAATTTCACCACCAAAGAATCCTTTGCAGTAGCGAGCCATAAACTTGATGTCATAAATGATGCCAAAAACTACACCAAGAGCCTTAGCAAACATCACCACTGAATCGGGCAGAGGCTTTTGGGTTAAGAGCTTGAGCAAATACGCCAGGTCATAAAGGCCATGAAAGCAAACCCATGTCAAATCATGCAGCCCTCTGTGGATTCTAAGGACACGCAGAAACCCGAACACAAACTCCGCAACAGAAATCCCAAATTGCCCAAGTCTCGCAAAATCAAGACCGTTCCTTTTGAGTAGAGAAATGGAAGCGACAACATGAGGGTCAGATTTCTCATTAAACCCAGACAAGTGGAATTCCCAAGTTCCCCCAATGTTGCCATTGGCGTCGGACAGAGTGAATCCCAACTGGAGCAATTTGAGGGATTCAACATTGAATTTTACATCTTCGTAACGTTGATCTTCGAGTGCGTCTCGGGGAGTGTCTCGGAGAAAGCCTGGAAATTCGGTATCGAAAGAGATGACGGGGAAGCGGTGCAGGCAGTGATCGAATTGAGACAATTCTTGATGGAAGTTGTAGGCCCAAACTCCTCTGATCTTCATGACTAGCAGTGTGAGAACAAAGAGCAGAGAGCATAGAGAGCAGAAAGCGAGCAGGGAGTAGAGAGCAGAAACCGAGCACAGAGTAGAGAGCAGAAAGCAGAGAACAACAGAGAGATAGAGCGAGAGAGAGAGAGAGAGAGAGAGATGGGTTTGAACTTGAAAGTGAAATTGAAGGGAAGAGAAGGTATTTATAGGATTTCATTCCTAGAGCTATTAGGATTTCATTCCCAAAGCTATTAGGAAACCCAACTCCGCTTTCACGCGGTTTAACTTACCGTTGCAAATGCTAACCCTAGGCTGGTTTCAAAAGAACATTTAATTTACTAAATTACCCCTAATGTGAATTTTTCCTAAGAAATAAAAGTACGAAAAAGAACCCGTCATTAATTTGGTTGTCGCAGGTTTCTATCGCTAGGAACGAAGGCAGCCAGCGTGAGCTCGTCTCCTCCATCATCTACTTCATCCCCCCTCCCACCATTCTCTCTCTCTCTCTCTCTGTTTTCTTGGACAAAACGACTTCACTTTGACAAGCAAATTACTTTTCGTTTCCAATTCTATGGGCCTTCTTTTTTGTTGGGATCCAATTCTATGGGCTTGTTTTTGGGCATTATTTCCAACAAATTTTTTTCATAATTTTCGTTCATTATATTTAATTTATCGGAGAATTTAATTTTATAGCCATATTGAAACACGAGTTTAAAATCAAGTTCTCAATATTCTATAGTTCATTATTCTTTGTTAATTTACGGTAATAAAATAACCTAAATTTAACATTTAATTGATTCATTATTTATTGGTTTATTATTTTCTGAAGTTTCACTGATTTTTTATTTACTTATAGTGTGTTTGTATCACAAATGGTACCTAAGCTTTCGTTAAATTGCTTAGGTAGTGTGACACCTAAATTAAATATATATATATATATTCGAAGTTTTAAAATTGAAAAAATCATCTCTAAGGTGTGGAATTTGGGTGCATGAAAGTTCAACCTAGGAACAAGCCCAAAAAAGGTGCATAGAGCTCCATTTAAATCTCCAATTTAATATAATAATAAATAATAATAAAAAGGGTATCCCCAATGGTTGTAGACATGCACAATTATATATGTGATATGAAAAATAGTTTCACATATGTGAAAACATTCTTATTTTTATGATCTTCTGCAATGCTAACGTGAAACAAAAGTTGGAGCGTCTTAGAAATTCTTGCTGTGAGTTTTTATTTTTTCTAAGGTTTGGGATGTTTTGGAATTATGGTAAAGTGATAAGGGTATTTTTGGAAGGTTTTAAGGGAAAAACGAATGGGAATAAGATGCCCCATCCGCCTCCCTAGTTGATTTGATTCCTAATTTTGAGGGGATGTGATTACGGATTTTGAGATGGGGTCCACATATTTTTTTTCATTCCTAATTGCAAGTAAACATCAGGGAAATCATAAGCGAAAATCATTCCCTTTCCTCCCATATTCAATACTGATACGTAAACATGCCTAAAGTGTTAGGAGCGATAGCATTCATTTCAGACAAGCAATTCTTCTTTACTTTTGTCCTCTGATTTTGGATTAACATTGGCAAAATCCTCCAACAATTAAGGACCATATGATGAACTTGTCATTCTGCATAATGCTAGTGGCCACTAAAAACCCATTAATTTTCGAAGCTAACAAAATCCTTAACGACACATGCACGCACACACTCTATCTCAAAAGAGCAAAACTAGATTGATTAAATTAGTAGTTAATTATGTGATAAAGCCTTTGACCAGTCAGTATATATGCTTAATCTATAAGGTTTCAACTTCCACTGTAATTCTGTCATAAAGTCTTTTCATGATTACCAATAGCAGACTAGCAGTGGCAGTGTGTAAGTGAAATTCGAGCGTACAGAGAAGAAAGCAAAGAGGGAGCACAGAGAAACAGAGAAGATAGTAGAAAGTCGAGAAACGAGAGGTGAGAGCGAGAGCGAGAGTAGAAAGGGAGAGTACGCGAGAGCTGGAGCGAGAGAACGGTGTGATCTTGAATATTTGAAGCTATTAGAAAAGAAGAGAAGGATTTAAGTGTTTCCTAAAGCTACTTTAGGAAATAAGGCTTTGAAATCAAACCTTGAAGAAATATTACCGTTGCAAGAGCCTCACCACTTCAACGCGATTTCACTCATCAAAACCAAATCCTGTTTTGATAATAAATAAATAAATAATAAATAATTATAAAAAAACCAAATTGTATGTAAATTGACTAAATTATCCCTCACTTGAAGTTTAAGCATAAACGAAAAAGGAAAATTATGAGCAAAAATAGAAATAGAAAAAGAACTTGTAATAAATTTGCAAATGAATTCTATTTTCATCCCCTGATTTTCATGACTACGAGTAGCAATAGCAGTAGCAGTAGCAATGTGTAAGTGAAATTCGAAAGCATAGAGAAGAGAGCAAAGAGGGCGCATAGAGAAACAGTGAACGCTCGTCTTCCAAATCAAAAGAAAAATGGGCTCGTTGGGTTGCTCAAGAGAGCAGAAAGCAGAGAGATGAGAGGTGAGAGAGAGAGAGAGAGAGAGAGAGAGAGAGAGAGAGAGAGAGAGTGAGTGAGTGAGTGAGTGAGTGTGTGATATTGAATATTTGAAGTTATTAGGAGAGAAGAGAAGCATTTAGGTGTTTCCTAAAGCTATTAGGAAATAGGGTTTTGAAATATGACCATTGCAAGAGCCTCACGACTTAAAGGCGGTCACAGTTGCTTTTTCACGCATCAAAACCAAATTGTATGTAAATTGACTAAACTACCCCTCACCTATATTTTAAGCAAGAAAAAGAAAGAGAAAAAGAACCTGTAATTAATTTGCAAATGAATTTTGCTTTCATCCTCTGATTTTCATGACTACCAATAGCATTAGTAGTGTGTAAGTGAAATTCGAACCATAGAGAAGAGAGCAAATAGGGAGCACAGAGAAATAGTGAACGCTCGTCTTCCAAATCAAAAGAAAAATGGGCTCGTTGGGATAGTTGGGTTGCTCATGAGAGCAGAAAGCAAAGAGATGAGAGGTGAGAGTGAGGACGAGAGAGAGAGAGAGAGAGAGAGAGAGAGAGAGAGAGAGAGAGTTGTGATATTGAATATCTAAAGCTATCACGAGAGAAGATAAGCATTAAGTGTTTCCTAAAGCTATAAGGCAATAGGGTTTTGAAATATGACCTTTGCAAGAGCCTCACGGCTTAAACACGGTCGCAATTGCTTTTTCAAGCATCGAAACCAAATTGTATGTAAGTTGACTAAACTAATCCTCACCTATATTTTAAGCTAGAAAAGAAAAATTCTGAGCAAAAGAAGAAAGAGAAAAAGAACCTGTAATTATTTTGCATATGAATTTTGCTTTCATCCTCTGATTTGCATGAATACCAGTAGCAGTAGCAGTAGCAGTGTGTAAGTGAAATTTGAACACATAGAGAAGAGATCAAAGAGGGAGCCCAAAGAAACAGTGAACGCTCGTCTTCCAAATCAAGAGAAAAATGAGCTCGTTGGGATAGTTGGGTTGCTCAAGAGAGCATAAAGTAGAGAAGTGAGAGGTGAGAGCGAGGGCTGGAGAGAGAGAAAGTTGTGATATTGAATATTTGAAGCTATATTAGGAGCTAAGAAGTATGAACATGGATACGGATACGATGATACAATACGACACGACATGGGGATAAGGTAAATTTCCAAAAACTAGGATACGATACATCATGGATACGGTTATTAAAAACATATATCAATAAATTTATATAACTTAAAACAAAATTTTAAATAAATTTTAAATTTTAAATATAGTGTAGCATATTGGGCTTTCTTTTCTGATTCTTTATATTTTTAGGCATGTATAGCTTTTTTCACCCAAACATGTCATTACCCATAGCCCATTTTAATCCTATTGCTTAAGACCCAAACCTATAAACAGATTTATGAATATATATATATATATATGGGGGCGGATCCGTGACACCATATTTTTGACACAAGTTTTGAGCCATTAGATTACTCCACTTTTAATGAATGAGATTAAATCTGACATGAATTTTTAACATAAAAAAATAAATTAAAATATTTTTCTCTCTCCTCTAAACTCTTTCTTTTATCAGACCAAAAAAACTTCTTGATCTTTCTCTCATTCTTTCCCAAAAAATTTGAAATCCCTCGTGTAGCATGAACATTTTTCTCTTAATCAATCTCTCATTCTCATTTTCCTTCTTTTTGTTTTTAGAGTTACTGCTGATAATTTGTTAATTAAGTTATGTTAACCCGTTATTATTTCTCATAAAACATTTTCATCACAACAACCACCATTACCTAATAAAGAGAGAAAATAGAGAGAATGAATGAATGTCTATTCTGAATGAAGTGGGAGAATCAAAGCATCAAGATAGATATTTATTTTACAAATTTATAAATAAACCCAATCCTAGACATGTATTTATAAAAAAACTCAAGCACTATTTAAACATAGAAACACACCCAAAATCAACCCCAAAGTCAACTTTTTGGGTGTGTTTATAAATGAGTTTAAAATAGTGCTTGGATTTTTTTATAATTTCAACCCCCATTTTGGGTGTTTTAGTGAAACTCCCTATTTATTTTTCTTTTTTTGAATTAAAACTCTAATCTCAATTGATTTGAGAAAGATTGTTCAGAACAATTCGATGTTTAATAGAACAACTAAGAATAAGGACTTGTCTACCATATTTGCTTTAAAGCTCCAAGAAGATAGAAAGCAACACAAACTACAAACCTAACCAGTGAAATTAGAAAAGACAGGTCCCCTTCCCCTTCTTTTCTCCAACACCTCTTGATTGGGTGCTTGGCAGTAAGGCTATCATTTCCTTTCTTGTATTGGTGACCTTGTGTAAGGTGTGCTTGGGAGCGTTCACCATGGCGACGGCTGCCTCATTTAGTGATGATAATTAGCAGAGAACGGTTAGGGAAGAGAGAGTGGAGAGAGAAAAAAAAATTTGATAGAAATTTACCTTTTTGAGAAAATAGAGAGAGGACAGAGAAAAACATTTTAATTTATTTTTCATGTCAAAAAGTTATGTCATATTTAATCCCATCCATTAAAACTGGAGTAATCTAATTAGGGGTGGGCATCTTAAATCGAAATACCGAAACCGTACCCT